CCAATTGAATGTGCACCCTGGTTTTAATATTCTAAACAGCTTTTATTCTTTAGACATCCATTGTAGTTCAATAGTAGTTTGATTTCCATGTACGGTATAAGTAAAGCAGTTGAACTCTCTTATCTTGATTGTTGTGATCGGTGGGAAGTTGTAGTCACTAAATGTTTATGTAAGTTCATACAAGGACGTCGCATGATGTAGTTTCAACGTTGCGTTGTTGTTGTTGTTGTTGTTGTTGTTGTTGTTGTTGTTGTTGTTGTTGTTGTTTTTTTTTTTTTTTTCGTTTTTTTTTCTAAGTTTCTTCACTACTTTTTTTGCTTAATGATACCAGAAAGCCATCAACACAATTTGGTGCCATTCGCACGACACGGGAACGAGTGACGCTGTATTGAACGTCAAATGAGGTGAAACCGTACGAGTTCATACATAGGCGTCGTATTCTTCTGTTTCAACGCTGCGTTCATAACGTTTATTCACACCATTAAGTCATGATACCAGAAAGCCATCAACAAAATTTGGTGTCATTCGTACGACACACGAGCGAGTGACGTGGTGTTGCTGTTGTAGTTGTTGTTTCTGATGTTGTTGTTGTTGCTGTTGTTGCTGTTGTTGATGCTGTTGTTGTTGCTATTCTCGTTTCTATTGATGTTGTAGTTACTGTTGCTGCTGTCGTTGCTGTTGCTGTTGTCGTTGCTGTTGCTGTTGTCGTTGCAGTTGTCGTTGTTGTTGCTGCTGTTGTCACTGTTGTTGTTGTCATTGTTGTTGTCGTCGTCGTCGTTGTTGCTGTCGTCGTCGTCGTTGTTGCTGTCGTCGTCGTCGTCGTCGTCGTCGTCGTCGTTGTCGTTGTTGTTGTTGTCGTTGTTGTTGTTGTCGTTGTCGTTGTCGTTGTTGTCGTTGTCGTTGTCCTCGTTGTCGTTGTACTCGTTGTCGTTGTTGTTGTTGTTGTCGTCGTCGTGGATGTGGTGGTGGTCGTCGTCGTCGTCGTCGGCGTCGTCGTCGTCATCGTCGTCGTCGTCGTCGTCGTCGTTGTTGTTGTTGTTGTTGTTGTTGTTGTCGTCGTGGCTATAGTTGTTGTCGTCGTGGCTGTAGTTGTTGTCGTCGTGGCTGTTGTTGTTGCCGTTGTCGTCGTTGTCGTCGTTGTTGTTGTCGTCGTTGTCGTTGTTGTCGTTGTCATGGTGTCGTTGTTGTTGTTTGTGTCGTTGTCGTTGTTGTCGTTGTCGTTGTCGTCGTTGTCGTTGTCGTCGTTGCTGTTGTCGTTGTCGTTGTCGTTCTTGTCGTTGTCGTTGTCGTTCTTGTCGTTGTCGATGTCGTTGTCGTTGTCGTTGTCATTTACGTTTTCGTCGTTGTCGTTTTCGTCGTTGTCGTTGTCGTCGTCGTCGTTGTCGGCGTCATCGTTGTCGTTCTTGTCGTTGTCGTTCTTGTCGTTGTCGTTGTCGTTGTCGTTGTCGTCGTTGTCGTCGTTGTCGTTGTCGCTGCTATCGCTGTCGCTGTCTCTTTGGTGATTTGTTTTGATTTGTTTTGCGAGGTTTCTTCACACCACTGAGTCGTGATACAAGGAAGCTATGAACCCAATTTGGTGCCATTCGCACAACACGGGAACGAATGACGTTGTTTTGAACGTCGAACAAGGTGAACCCGCACGAGTTCATCCCGAAGACAACAGCCAACATGACGCGTGACAGTGCATGTCGGGCCAATCGTCTGCGAGCACCTGCCAGCGTGCGCGCTGCTGTCATCTACGTGTGCAACGCTAAACGGCCGCTTTGCTGCAACGTTGGCACGTCGTCGCCCTGCTCTGTTGGCAGGTCGCCTTTTCGCAGCGCTGGCGCGGCTCTTCTACGCAACGCTGGCATGCTGTCGACCATGCTGCGCTGGCGGTCGACCAGCTGCCTTGCTAGGTTGCTAGGCTTTGATGTACTCAATCTTGTCATTCTTTTTGCTATCATTCTATAATGCAACTTTCCCTAGTGAAACTCTTGCCAAATTGCTATGTGAACACACAAGTGCTAGAGAACGCTAAGGAACGCTACGATCACTCCTAGATTCCGTGCCTTCCCCTGTAGTCCAGCTCCCGGTGCAGAGTGACTCTCCACACTGCACCCTATCACGTGCGCTGCAACCTTGCACCTGCGCAATGTGCTTTAAGTGCACGACATGCACACACCCGTCAGTTGTGCAGACCTGCACCTACTTGGTAGGTGACGCACATATGCGCACATGGTCACCTGCGACTGCAGTGCTGGGAGGCCGCCGTAGTGCAACGCTGGCAAGCCGCCTTGCTGCAGCGTTGGCACGCAGCCTTCCAGTCGCGCTGGCAAGTCGCCTTCCAGCTGCGCTGTTGTAAGTTGTTCTTGCTATTTCGACTTCACATTGCTATTGTATTATTGTTGTCCTCTATGCTGTCGATAATGTCACCAACATCGTCAGATATGCACATTTCTCAATCAATCAAGTTCAAGTGGACCAAAGGACCTGATATATTAATATGAATTTGTTGAGTATATATCCCGGTGCCCTAGAGAAAATAAGGCTAAAATACAATAAATAAACAAAATCCAAACCAATGAAATTATAAATGCTAGGCATAAATTGTGCCGTATGATCTCCTTGATGCCTCAAATGTATTTGTTTCTTAATGTGCATACCGTCAATATGAATCGACCCACTTGTGCAGAATTTATATGTGCTGTTATTCCTTGATACTTTTAAAAGGTTTGATATTGCGCAGAGACATAGTCGAGCATATGCTGTAACACCTCGACTTGGGTGAACCAGGGTGGTGTCAGTCAGGTGGGGGAACAGAGATGCGCAGGTGGTCCACACGTCTGGGAAAGTTTGTCGCTGATGGGATGGTTGGACCGATTGTCGGTGGTTGTACAGCTGGCTTCCAGCAACAAAAAAGTTCGGGTCTGTACAGCAAGCGTGACGGGTCCAAAATTTTGTTTCCAACCAGTAAATGCGCTGTGCAGGTAGTCGTCGCCTAGGGTAGAATGTTAGGAGTACTGGTTCGTCCGAATTTATGTTTTGTTTGCTTAGTCATTTTGAATGACAGTTCTCTTATATACAGTTAAGCGGGCAGAGAGATACACTTGGGGGTTTACGACTTCAGCATGTGACAGGCGCGTCATTTGTCGCGTGCTGAGCAGTGACTGCAACTTGTACATTTTGCTGTGCTGTACAGGTTTGTGTGCGTCTCGAACCTTCGAGAGCTGTTGCTGATTGGGTCGTTTCGAGTTATTTTGCGGTGCTGTATTGTGTGTCCAACATGCTGGTGCTGGGATCATTTGTCGCAGCGAACTGTCATAGTGTTTGAGGTGCCGACCTTTTCACGCACAACTGTTTGCTGCAGCTTTCAAACTCCTTTCAAGCTAGTGATTTCGTTCTTTAAACCCACCTATGTGCTTCACTAAACGTTTTATTGCAGTGAGGTCTTACTTTTCTCGAGATCGGTACACTACTTTGTTCTTGCCGGATAGTGCAAAAAGAAACAAGAGCAGCACACGAAACGACAAAACAACAGCGGTGCAAGGCAATTGCAAGCAACGACAAAAGAGCAGTGCAAGGCAATTGCATTGCAAGCAGCTGCTCTAACATGCCCAGTTCTCAGCGCTTGGGAGGGAAGGGTAGCCTTCTTTTTTGGCCCTCGTCTTCCTCGTTGGTTTAGTGTTCATGCTCAAGAGTTGTTTCTGCATCTCAGTTCTCAATATTAGTTTAGTGTTTTTCAGCTCGATAGTTCTTACTGCACCACGGTGTTCAAGTCGCTAGGTCGTCCGCGCTTCCGTGAAATCACTTTCGGACTTCACAGCCTTGTCGTCGTGTTGTTTCTTTGTTGTAAGGTGTTGGTCTGTGCAGGCGAAGCCTGGAGCAGATGTGAAGGTTGTCTGCAGATAATTCTGCGAAGCGTAGGTGCGCTGTTCAGTTGATTTCGTGGTATTTATTCTGTTGTTATTTTTATTTCGTTCCATGCAATCGGGCCTTTTCTGACGGGCTCAAAAATGTATGTGGGTTCCCATGTTCTGGCAGCTCGTGGATGGCGTATCGTTTATATGTTGGCAAACTGTTTATGATATTTGTGAGGTTTGTGGATCGTTCTCTTGATTTTTTTTATCAATAATCGTGGCTTGTTTCCTCTGCAGCTCCTTGTTAGTATGTCTCTGGTAAGCAATCGTTTCTCCTGCAGTATTGTTTATTCTTACCCTTGGTTCTGTTGGTGTCTGTTACTGCCACAAATCTTCTCCGTGGTGCAGCTCTGGATTAGTAGTCCTCGTTCCCGTGCTGGCGTTGATGTGTTTGTACTAAATTAGTATGAAGAGATTATATTTTAGTGACGTGGGCTGGGATTTGCGCTTATTTGTATTGTTCAATGTATTAAGCCTTTACTGTCGTTATTTAAATTTCAACAGCAACATTCTTTCAGGAAAATACGAATCAAATTAGCTCCTGAATGTTATTTTTTTTTTCGCTTTATAATGCGCAATGAACATACGGTTTTGCGTTTTCCTGTAAGCGCGTGTTATTCTAACGGATGGTGTTATAAGTGTACGAATATCAATAATAAATCTAGCTGCGATATTGTCACACTGTAAATTCTGCAGGTTCGTAGAATAGCATTGCCAATTTTTATGTGTATGTATCAACGTTCACACTTTGTCGCGACATTCAACAGAATGAAAGTGCACAACCAATCAAAATAGTTCGCGTCAAATGTTTCCCAGCCAGGTGTCCTCGCCGTGTTTGCCGAAAATTTCACCCCCCAGTGATGCGATTGGTCGAACCAGTTCGTAGTTACGCGGGAGTAGGTTTCCAAAAACACATAGATGTGTGGCTGCGATTAAGCGACGACACTTTCTAAGAAGGTTCTTCCTGGCCAATCCCAACCAGAGTTACAACCAGGAATGTTGGCCACAATCTTTGAGGTAGGTCTTGAAAAAAATACGGAAATGTTACCCTAGAGTTGCTCCTACGTAAGAAATGAAACCAGCACATTTTGGGATGCGCGCATGACGGCGCAAGGCAGAACTTCCGCGCGCGTGACTTCCGCCGCCTCCTCGTCCGCGCTCCGCCAATCTACCGCTCAAAGCCTAACATCCGCGGGCGCAGTGGTCGCGCAGGCTTCCGCACCTCCCCCTTCCCCTCCCGACGACCGGCCAGGCGACGGGGATGGGGGGAGTACTCCGCCCGCGGTGAACGAAGCGCGGCTGACACCCGCCAATGAGATCATTGGCGTGTGCCGATCCGGAGGTGAGATATCCGCGATATAGAGTTGTGACGTCCTTCAAAGAACAAGAGGACCCTGGGAAGGGGGGAGATACTCCCATTAGATTAGGGCTGCGGCCAACGGGGGGTCAATAGGGGCGACGGAGGGACTATGGGGGCAACGGGGGGGGAATTGAGGGCAAGGGGGGGGCGATGGGGGCAATGAGGGCGGCAATGGGAGGGGGGGGGGCAATGATCATGGCAATGCCCCGCAATTGATCTCATGATGATGCGATCATACGCGCGTGCAGATCTGGGAGGGAGGTATCCGCGTTTTAGAGTCGAGGTGGGTGGATGAGCAGGAGAGAAAACGCTGTAAGTGTTGAGCCAGAGCAGGTGGCAGCCAATGATGTTCTCATTATAGCCAGCATCGCAGTTAGTGTTAGACCATCTTCGTCATGCCCTCGCTGTGCCCTCGCTGTGCCTTGAGTCCCGTTGGCTGGCTCAATGTCTTCTCTCCTTTCCTTCCCAACATCTTCTTTCCGTCTCCTCCCCTTCACCTCTTTCTTCTCTCATTCCCTTTCGTTGCCTCGCAGCCACCTCCACCATCACCATCGCCCCTGACTGGAACGGACAGACGTGGCGAGGCTGGGGCACTTCGCTGGCATGGTGAGTTGCTGAGCTGGCATGGTGAGTTGCTGATCTGGCATGGTGAGTTGCTGAGCTGGCATGGTGAGTTGCTGATCTGGCATGGTGAGTTGCTGATCTGGCATGGTGAGTTGCTGATCTGGCATGGTGAGTTGCTGAGCTGGTATGGTGAGTTGCTGAGCTGGCATGGTGAGTCGCCTAGCTGGCATGTTGATTCGTCTAGCTCGCATGGTGAGTCGCCTAGCTGGCATGGTTACCTGCTTAGCTGGCATGGTTCCATGTCTCATGTCTCATGTCTCATGTCCCATGTCCCATGTCTCATGTCTCATGTCTCATGTCCCATGTCCCATGTCTCATGTCTCATGTCTCATGTCCCATGTCCCATGTCTCATGTCTCATGTCTCATGTCCCATGTCCCATGTCTGATGTCTCGTGTCCCATGTCCCATGTCTCGTGTGCACACTCTCCCACCTCCCATGCATCAATACCCCTTACCCCTTGCCCCTTGCTTGATGCCCCTTGCCCCTTGCCCATTGCCCCTCCCAGGTTCGCCAACTATGTGGGCAAGCTGCCAGACGAGCAGTTTGATCTCATCATGGATTTACTCTTCGACAAGGACAAGGGCATCGGGCTCAACCTCGCCCGCTACCTCATAGGCGGCAGTGTCAACTACACCAACAGCCCCCAGTTCCTCACTGCTGCCTGGGAAACCCGCTCTATCCCCGGCTTCCGCGTCCAGCCAAACGGGCCGTACGACTGGACGACAGACGGGCGGCATATGCGGACAATGCTCGCCGCCCTGGCGCGGAATGTGGACGAGGTTGAGGCGGTGTCGTACTCGCCGCCCTGGTGGATGACCGTCAGTGGGGACACAGCCGGGACTGAAACGGGCAAGTGTAACTTAAAGCCCGAGTATTTCCAGGCGTACACGGAGTACCAGGCTTCGGTGATCGAGCACTACCGCACGCACTGGAACTGTAACTTTCTCGACCATGAATCCGGCGAACGAGGCGCTGGAGGGGTGGTGGACGCAGGGCCACAAGAACGAGGGGTGTAACTACGGCCCTGAGAAACTGACCACTCTTATCCAGCTCCTTACGGCCACCCTCCGGAAACGCAAGCTCCTCACGAAAGTCGCGGGGTTTGACAGCTTTGTCGGCGCCAGACTCCGCTACACGTACAAGTTCCCTGCTGCGGTGAAGGCCGGGCTTTTTCGGCTGAACGTGCATGGGTATATAAACCCGCCGTCCAGCACGGCGGATACGCGGCAGTACATGGAAGGGGTGATGGTGAGCATGCACCGCATGGCGACCGGGCTGGGGAAGGAGGTGTGGGTTTCAGAGGTGGGGCCGATGTGGGTGGGAGGGAATGATGTCGGTGTGATGCTGTTCACGGCGCGGCAGATAGTGCAGACCATCAACATCATGGGGGCTTCGGCCTGGATTTTCTGGCAGGCCGTGAGTGGGGTAGCTACTAACCCCGACGCGTTCCTCAAATGGGGGCTAATTGCGATCAGGATCTACCGCCTGAATGACACGGAAGTTAAGCCATTGGATCTGGTAATTTCCAAGAAGCTGTACATGCTGCAACAGTTTGTGCGCGGGGCACCACGGGGAAGCCTTCCTCTGCGGATCGACACATCGGGCGGGTGTCAGCACTGCATTGCAGCCTTCTTCCATCCCGACCAGCACTTTGTGTCCATCTTCATTGTCAACCAGCGCAACGTCACCCACACGGCGACGTTTCAATTTGAGGATTTCGTGCCTTTTGACGCGGGGCAGGCGTGTGTGGTGGAGACCTATCGCACGTCAGCCACGGAGAACAACACGCTGCTGGCCACCCAGAGCTACACCGACCTGCCGGCGTCCGTTCAAGTGGCTGCTCTGGGCAGCTCGATGACTTCTGTGGTGCTGCGGAATGTGGACCCCGCGTAGCGCTGCAGTGCCGAGCTGATTACCTAGATGATGGTGGTGGCATGGCAGAGTCAGAAACTTAGAGAGAGCAAAGCTGCTCCTTTATGGCGATGTCACGGTACGGTACTAGTGGCTGTGCTGTGCTATGTGGGCCCTGTATAGTGAGGATTGCAGGGATGGGTGGAGCCCAGCCCCCACCTTGCATAGTTACTAATGAACTGTGTATTAATGACTATACTGTTACCGTATGGCCCCGGATAGTAGCGCATATGCGCTTATAAAAAAATCATTTTTTTGGGGGGGGGGGGGGGCGCTTGTAATTGAGTAACGGCCATAAGCGCCGGTGCTTATATAATGGCAAATACAAAATTATACTCTTAGGGTACCAAATTGTATATTTCATTGTTGCCATTTCCACCGAGTCGAAACAATTTTGCATCACAAAGCAGAATCGCGCGGAAACGATTCTGCTTCCTCCACACGGACAAAGTCACGTCACCTTGCAGGCATGCCAGCACATCCTGACTGGACGCGCAACCAGTCATGTCCAGGGCCCTCGTTATCAGGGCAAAACATCCTGATTACCCTGATTTCACGATGTGGTTTTCAATTTGCCCTGTAATTTCAGAATGCTGGTCATTTGTACCCTGAACTCTCAGGATGTTCTTATATGATGTGCCCTGAATTTTCAGGATTGCCGTAGTGTTTTGCCCTGTAGCGTTAGGATGAATATCGAGGATTGCCCTGACGCGAATTTTGGGGGAGGGTAGGGGAGGGAGGGGGGAGGGGAGGAGGGGGGGAGGGGGGGGTGGTTTTTCCCATGAAAATTTTCCCTGGGGATTTTTCCACCGTGTATTTTCCCCGCCTTCTTCCGATCGCTTGACACGCGTATGCACCAACCAACCAACAACCAAACCAAACCCTTCGGATCTCTCAATGAGCTGGGCTGGGAGGAGGTCGAGCACGGGAACCTTGTGCTGTGCCTTCCCCTCCAACTCTCTCTAGTGTTCCTGCTAGAGTAGCAGCGCTGCTGAAGCTCGGCTGGCTCTCTCGTTCGTTAGTAGTCAGTCATGCCCAACGCGGATGATGTCGCGGCGTCAGTCAGGCCTAGCTAGAATTACTAAAAGCAGGACCCTGATTGATGTTTTTTTTGCCCTGAGAGGTCAGGATGTAATGCTGCCTAAGCCCTGAAAAATCAGGGTTTTTTTTTGGATTCTGCAGAGTTACCCTGAGGCATCAGGATGTCCTAAATCCTAGAGAGGGCCCTGGTCAGGTCTTCGCGAGTCAAACGAATCGAAATTGAAATTGGACTCGCTGCAAAAATGAAACTCGTTACCGATTTAAACAGTATTTTAAATGAAAATTGTACGTGCGCTTATAATATGTAAAGGTTTTCTAGGGGGGGTGCTTATAATCGAATTCCGTCCATAAGCGCCATGCTCCAGATAGAAGCGCCGGCGCCTTTAATCGGACGGCGCCTATATCCGGGGCCATACGGTATTAAACCCGACTTTGCATAAAGTTTACCGATCCCCGCATAGTGCTCGTCCATGCGTTGCATTTGAACTGAGCGTATTGATTAGTGCAGCAGAAGGAAGATAAAGAACGTAATTCATTACTCTGCATCCTTTTTCTTGCAACATCAGGTTCAGACTCAATGATTAGAGAAAATCAATAATGGGTATTCTGTGTCTGGCTAGGTCATGCGTGCTCAGTGTGGCTGTTCATGTGCTGTTATTTTTATCATGCGCTTGCGCGCTGATTGTTGTGTGCTTGTGAGAGAAGGGTAGGCCTGAACTTGCATAGCCCATTCAGTCAGAATACAATACCTTATCTTGTCAAACATATATTATAGCCTGTTTAGGCTGTGGTGGGTTAGACAATGGGGGGTACATCATTTCTAGGGTTTCCCTATATGTACCCATCTCCTTTCTAGTTCATTCATTTCCTCGTATTATTCTCACATGGTATAGAGCGGGTTCCCTAGTGGGACCGTTTTTTTAAGGGCCCACCACTGCGATTTTTTTTTTCCCTTACCTGCCCGAAGCGCGCTTCGCGCTTGCCTTATCTGCGCCCCGTGCGCCTGCCCTCCCATCGCGCGCTCTGCCCTTCGCGGCCCGTCGCGCCCTGTACCGGCCCCTTCGCGGCCTCTTCGCCGCCCCTTCGCGGCCCCTCTCGCGGCCCTTCGCGGCCCCCCTCGTGGCCCTTCGCGGCCCCTCTCGCAGGCCCTTTCGCGGCCCCCTCGCCGCCCTTCGCGCCCCCCCCTTCGCGGCCCTTCGCGGCCCCCCTCGCGGCCCTTCGCGGCCCCTAATCTCGATCGTATCCACTATAGCAATTTCAATTAGAGCATTGAGAAATAAATTCTCTATCATTTGCTGTACAGTTGAAATGTTGCCATCAATTATGGACGTCGTGGGTCGTTGCACCCAAGCTCATCCCCTAACGTCAGTTGGGTTGGTGATCCGTCCATTGAAAGGGAAAGTGTTTAAACTTTTCCATGACTGGATGATGCTCGCGACATGGAATAAAGGTCACCATGTCTGGTGGACAGAGTCTCAACATCTGGGACGTGCGCATAATAAAATCAAGGTGTATTATCGCCCGCCCACAGCTGTTGTGGCGTGTCCTATTCGCCCCAAACACCAACAAAATTTATTGTTGACTGGACGAATGAAGGGCGAGGATGCAAAGATCCTAGTATACACTGGCGCTTCAGTATCGTTACTCGACAAAAGTTGGGCAACAGCGCATGAAATCCTCTTTGAAGGACCGACGTGTCCCATTCGTCTTGGCGATGACAGAGTCATCCCAAGCAAAGGACAGACACAGGTTGACATGGAGATAAGTGGTTACCGCGAAACCATTTGCATCTACGTTCCACCACTTATATGTGCTGCTGATTGTTTAGGCTGTAGTGGGGTAGCCCATAAGGGGTACAACCCAATTAGGGTTTCCTACTTGTACCCATCCTGCTGCTAGTTCACACATTCCTCGTTCATTCTCCAGACATGGTTTCAGAGCAGGTCCTAGCCTAGGACCGTTTTTTTTTCGGGCCCACCATTACCTTAGTGACCGACTGCGGTTACCGCGTTACCCCACGCCCTGCCCTGCGCTGCGCCATCAGGGCGCGCCCTGCCCTGCCCTGCCTTGCGTCACACTGCCCGTGTACGCCCAGCCCTGCGTCGTGCTGCCCCGCGCACGCCCTGCCCTGCCCGCGTCGCGCTGCCTCGCGCACGCCCTGCCCTGCCCTGCGTCGCGCTGCCCCGCGCACGCCCTGCCCTGCCCCGCGTCGCGCTGCATCGCGCACGCCCTGCCCTGCCCCGCGTCGCGCTGCCTCGCGCACGCCCTGCCCTGCCCCGTGCCCTGCTGCCCTGCGCGTCGCGCCCTGCTGCAGCCCGCGCATCGCGCTCCGCTGCCCCGCGCGTCGCGCTCTGCTGCAGCCCGTGCGTAGCGCCCTGCTGCCCTGCGCGTCGCGCCCTACCGCCTGCCCGTTAGGCCCGCCGCGGGCCCTCCCTTCGCGCCGCCGCGCCTGCCAGTTACGCCCGCTGCCGCGCCCGCCCGTTAGGCCAGCCGCGGGCCCTGCCTTCGCGCCGCCGCGCCTACCCGTTCGGCCCGTCACGGGCCCGCCCGTTCTCCCCTCCCGCACCTGTCCGCTACGCCCGCCGCGGGCCCGCCCCTTGCGCCCGCCGTGCCTGCGTTTTGCGCCCGCCGCGGGCCTGCACTCGCTGCCCAGCGCCGCCCTGCCCGTGCACTCTGCTGCCCGCGCCAGCGCCCTGCCCTGCGCGCGCTGGCGCCCTGCCCTGCCCTGCCCGAGCCGCCTCTGCAGTGCCCTGTGCGCCCTGCTAAACCCTAAAATGAATATATATATATATATATATATATAAAAAAGCCCTTGGTGCTGCTGCCCTAGGAGCTACTGCCTGCTACTGGCCGCGCGCCGCCCTGCTCTAGTCACGCGCCGCCCTGCTCTGGCCGCGCTCAGCCCTGCTCTGGCCGCACGCCGCCCTGCTCTGGCCGCACGCCGCCCTCCTCTAGCCACGCGCCGCCCTTCCCTGACCGTGCACCGCCCCGACCTACCCTAGTGCCTCCTCGCCGCCCTTCCTTCCCTAAGTGCTGCCCTGCTAGTCGCATGACTTCTCTTCACGGCAGCGGTGGGAGTGGTGGCGACGGTGGCGGCAGCAGTGGGAGTGGTGGCGGCCGTCGTAGCAGTCGCTGTGGAGCTGTTTGGTGGGGAGTTTCTGGTGGTGGCCAGATGCAGCTGCAGCGGCGTCCGCGTGAGACCCTTACACCCCACCAGCTTCGTGAGTGGTTTGCTCAGCATTGGGCGTCTCAGCGTAGTGGCCGTAGTGGCAGTCGCGGTGCAGCTACTCAGTTGAAAGTTTATGGAGGTGGCCCGGTGCAGCTGCAGCGGCGTCCACGTGAGACCCTTACGCCCCAGCAGCTTCGTGAGTGGTTTGCTCAGCATTGGGCGTCTCACAGACGTGCTGAGGGTGACTGTTACCCGTGTGTGCCGCCCGACCCAGGTATAGAGGCCGCTGCTCTAGGTGCTTGTGAGTCTGCTGCTCTAGGTGCTGGTGAGTCTGCTCTCTCTGGTACTGCGCCTGCTGCGGCCTTGCACACCTTCACGCTTGACTCAGGTGCTTCCCGCTTTTTCTTTCGCGACAGTTACAACAGTCACACCACTCTCTGCACCTGTTGCTGTCTCTCTGGCTGACCCCTCCGGGGGCCCAGTCCTTGCACGTTCCTCGACTGTTCTGCCGTGTCCGGCGGTTCCGTCTGGCTGGGAGGGAGTGGCAGGAAGTGAAGAGGTCACGCCGTGGTACCATTCTTGCAGTCGCACCAGAGTCGAGAATAAGGTGATTGGGGTCAGCCAACATACGACCAGCAAGCGCCGTCTCCTTCTCCAAGGATAGGAAGGAGAAGCCATCATCCAATGAGTCCTCCTTTCCCTTCCTATCCTCGTTTGCCGCCGCTACTGCCGCATTTCCTTTGCAGCCTTTCTTATTCCAAGCTCCGTTCTT